ATATTTAATCAGAAAAGGCTACATATTGTATTATTCTACTTAATATGAAGTGCCTAGAATAGACAAATCTGGTGAAATACAAAGTGATCAGTGGTTGCAAGAATAGGGAAAAGAATAGAATGATGGCTGAAAAGAAACAGAATTTCTCTTTGTGATGATGAAAAGTTTTAAAATTGCCTGTGATGATGGCTGCATGTATTTGTGCATATACTTAAAATCATTGAATTGTATACTAGGATGAGTAAATTTTACAGTATGTGAATTATTTCTCAATCTATGTTATACAGTAGAACAAGCAATTTATAAGCCACACTAAAAAAAAAAATATTAAGCCCATTACTTTATGGTCCTACCAATATTTTAACTTATTTTTTCATTTATTTTTAAGCATGTTTTTAATTAGTAGACTTTTTAGAGCAATTCCAATGGTCTATAGGATATTGAAGTACAGAGTTCCCATATAACCCCCATTTCCTTAATCCTTTCTTTTGTTATGAACATCTTGAATTAATGTCGTAAATTTCTTACAATTGATGGGTCAATAGTGTTATGTTACTAAGATGTAAAAGACATGGTTTATAGTAGGGCTCACTCTTTGTGTGATATGATGACATATGTTGTGTGTGTGTATACACATAAATATATATGTATTTATCACTTTACAGAGTGTATGTGTGTATGTGTACACATATTTATTTTTCACTTCACAGAGTAGTTTCAGTGCCTTAAAAATTTTTTGTGCTCCTTATATTCCTTTCTCCCCTTTAACTCTTGGTGAACTCTGATCTTTTTATTATTTCCATAAGTTTGTCTTTTCAAAAAATCATATACTTGAAATCATGCAATATGTGGCCTTTTCAGATTAGCTTATTTCTGCATTAGTAGAATGTATTTAGAAATATGCATTTAGGTTTCTATATGTCTTTTCATGATTGATAACCCATCTCTTCTTAGTACTGAATTATAGTCCATTGTTTTGATGTAACAGTTTATCCATTCGCCTACTGAAAGGTATTTTGGTAGCTTCCACTTTTTGCCAGTTGGGATAAAGCTGCAATAAACATCAACATGCAGGTTTTTGTGTAGACATAAGTTTTCAGCTCATTTGGGTAGACACCAAGAAGCCAAATTGCTGGATTCTTGGGTAAGAACATATTTAGTCAATTATCTTCCAAAGTGGCTGTGCCATTTTGTATTCCCACCAACCATAAATGAGGATTTCTGTTGCTCCACATTCTCATCATAAAATGTCATAAGACAAATTTTTCAAGAAAATCCCTTAACAACTTTTCTTAAAAAGAAACTCCCTTACCAAACGGAGTAAGAATAATCCAGAAATTCTAAAATGTGGACTAAGGATAGATGCCAAATAATACATTACATTAAAAGCAGAGAAAACCTGTAGAATAGTCAACAGAGACAAGTGTTCCCTTGGAGTCCTTTAACAGGTATTGTTTTATGCTTCTAAAGATGCTCTTACTAGCAGAGTACCAAAAAGACTAATTCTCTTGGTAATAATTTATAGATAGTTGCTATTTATCTATAAAAAGTGATCCATTTTAGTCTTTACCATATTACTTCTCATATTCCCTCCAACACTAAGTCCCCTCTGACTTTTATTAAAATGGTTCTTTTGGGCTCTATTAGCCACTGACAACTGCATAATAATACAACAGGAGAGTATGTTATAGGTGTTGGTAGCTTCTTTGAAATTCTGTCCACAGTGCTAATGATCCAAAGGTAAAAGAAGTCACTTGTATATTTCTATAGAATTATTTTAGATTTTTGTCATTTTTTCTTCTGCTAAAAATGTACTAAGTAAGTAAAGTCATAATAACTAGCTAACTAATTGCCTCCCCCACTGATGTTCAACTTCTATAGCAACTGGATTCGAGTGGAAACTCAAATGATTCCTATGAACTCAAGTGAAACTCTAATGATACCACCACATAAGAGAAAAACTGCCACCGTCATGTAAAAAAAGTTAACGCAGAGCAGATTGATATCTAAGAGAGACCCTTTCAACCCTGCAGGCAATAGTGTTTTCAAAAGTTTGCCAGCCGACCATTTTATCTGGTATTGTTTGAATGTTCAGATGTCCCCCAGAAGGACAGATAGCATTTTTTTCTAACCTTGAAATAGACACTCAATGGAAATGGGATATAATGAGATTTGCCTCTACATTTCTGCTAATATAACAGTGTTCACTAATGGCTGATACTTCCAAGATTGAGTCCTTAGTCATGTTAAATCCCCAATCCACCATCCAAATTTACAAGTTTATATTGGCAATAGTGCAGATTTTCTTGTTTTGGATGAAAATATTTACAAAGTTCAAATCTACCTGTATTCTTACCTCTGAGTAACTATTGGCCAGATCCTTTTATGTTGAGGTATACATTTATAAAATAGATATAAAGTACACAAAAGAATACTCAGAAGAATAAAGGAACCAATATTTGTTGCAAATATACCACATGCCAGACCTTGTGCTTGATATTTCATTTTGATCCTCAAAATAACTGTATATAGGCAATGTGTCTCATTTTATAGATAGAAAAAAATAAAAGTTTAGAGTCATCCAACCTGTTACCTTTGGCAAATGGCAGTCAAGGACTCAAACCTCAGTGGAAAGCAAAAATTCTATAACATCCAGGGTTCTGCATGCATACTCCCTCCCCACCCTTACTTCTCAAACCTCATTTTCTGTTATCTCTCTCCTTCACTTTCCTCCAACCCTGCAAACTGCTCCAACTTCAGTGTCTTTGCACTGACTTTCTTCAACCTAAATTCCCAACCCCATATCCACATTGCTCACAAACTTCTCCTGGTCATCCTGTTAAAAACCACAACTGAATCCCCATTCCCAATCCAGTTTATACTGCCATTTTCTTTTCCTGTAGCATATTTTCAACCTCCCATGGTATTTTTATTGTCTGCCTCTTATAGAATACATGCTCCACTAAGATATAATGTTTTGTGTTTTGTTCTTTGATGCTTCCTCAGCAGCTAGAGCTGAGCCTAAGATGTAGTAAGGATTCATTAAGGTTTGTTGACTGACTTCCCACCACCAATTCACCTGCATGCCATCACCATAGTCCCCTGTACCCTTCCCACCCCGTTTTGATCCCATTCCTACTCCACCCATATAAAATGTCTCTGGTATATAGTTGGTCGTTGTTTTTTTGTTTTTTTGTTAATACAATTGCTTTTTTTCCCTCCTGGTCCCTTACGCTCCTGCTATTCATGAAACCATCCAGTATTTTTCTTTTTCTTGGGATTATAACCAAGATGGAAGAAAGGCACAAAATGAAGAATGATGTAAAAATATTTTTTAAGTCAGTTTGAACAAATCTTAAAAAAAAAAGTCAAAAATGTTACCTGCTCTTTGATGGAAAAAAAAAAAAAGATTTGTTGACTGAATAAATGGAAAGATATGAGACCCCAGAGCCTTCAGACTTTCCAGTGAGCACTGTAATCAGCATCTAGCAATGTTTTAGAGTATTTTTAAATATTTAAAAATTTAAATGTTACGGGCCCTTCCTGGTGGCGCAGCGGGTTAAAGCACAGCACTAAGAAGCTAAAGTCACTTCCGCATGAGTTAGATCCCTACCTGCCCCCGAGATGACCACATGGCGCTTCAGACCTCTCCTGACCCGCCCGCTGCTCCCCTCAGCAGTGTACTTCGTCGATCTGCCTGTTCTGCTCCCTGCTCTGTCTCTGGTGAATCCTCTCACCCTCCGCATCTCTGGACTCTAATTATGTATGAATAAATAATTTTTTTTTAATTTAAATAAGTACTATTTCTAATGTCTCTTTCTGCTTTGTAATGTCCCCATCTCTCCAAAGAATGGGAGGAAATTCTTTCTTCAGCAGCCTGGTTTGTATCTGTGTGACTGGTGGTTGGGGAATTTCTTGTCTCATACCCTTGAGCATTTCTGTTGTATGTAGGAGTGTGGGAAGACACCCCAGCTTGGTGAGTGAGCAAGGGTGCAAGGCAAGCATGGAGAATAGAAACACAGGGAAAAGGAAGTGAGTTTGTCTTCCTCTCCCTGCCGATAGCCACCTTTGCTCAAAGAAGAGGTCTGTGCTGTATTTGGCATTTACAGTCTTGAGGGATGAAAAACAAATCTGAGCTTGGATTACAGTGCTAGATGGTTAAAATTCAGAATTTCATAATGAACAGTCACAAGGCTTAATGGATTTTGTGCTTTGCTCTCACTGTTGGATATTTGTTGAAATTCAACATGGACCTTATTCATCTTTGAAAGCCATCTTAAACTTTCTAATAACCCATAAGCCTGTTGGAAGAAAGGGAGTGAAAAAAATTGGGTTTTTATCATTTCATTGGTATAGTTCTTTGTAGACCTGAAAATAACTCACTTGTCCCACTTTATTAAAAATCTCTATTTGTTGGCTAACTCCATATATAATAGGGGAACATAGCTGCTTACAAACCTTTGGAAACAGTTAAATAACTAAATAAATAATGAACATGTTGTCTATCTCCCTCTAGATATTTTTCAGTGTCCATGTCTGCATATTTTTCAAAATTTCTACCATAAGTACGTATTATTTTTATAGCCATAGAGCACTTAATTTTATAAGCAATGTTTAGAAATTTTACATTCTTTGAAGTGTTGCTTATATTTATTATGTTTGGGATCTATGTGCTTTTTCTTCAGCCCTGACATGAAACTAAAAGCAATACAATGTTGAACCAACTAAAAGACATTGCATGATTTTTCCACACTAAAAAAAAAATGAATTTTAAAAATCACAAAACCATTTACTCAGTGATTTTTTTCCTCCAAGGAACACACACCTACACATACAGAGCATTTTTAAAACTTTGGCGAATGGATCTATAGCAAATACGCCTTGCTTCCTTCTTCCACCCACCCCTGGCACATCCATCTGCTTCATGACTTTTTTATTTTTTAATATATTACCAGAGGTCCTGAGATGACATATAAACTACTTGTCTCCTCAACTTACAGATGGAGAAAACAAAGACCCAGCTTGGAGTGACTGAAATGGAGGCACCTACTTGCAAGCCCAGGCTTTCGGAGAGGTAAACCACATACCTAATCCTTCCTAATAGATTCCAGAAAGAATGTGGATGAAACTTCTCTTGATCTTTTTTTTTCTTACACAAATTTAATACTTTGATGGCTTGTAACCCAAAAGCAGTATTTAAAGGAACAGCACAGGTCACTTTTATTATACACGGCACAGTTAGCAAGATACTACCTTGAGTAGCTGTTTAAAGGGATCACACTTCAAAAGGTAATTGACCTAAATTTTCCTTCCTGCTCTGAACTCCAGTGAGTCTCCCCCGTATGCAGCCCTCTCATGCATCTCACACACGGAAGAGATACAGTGGGGTCCTGGGGAGCCAGAAAATCTAGGACACTGTGATTAAAACTAATTCAAACATTATTTTAATGCCTGTGTTTAGTTTGCTAAAAATTCTCAACTTCAGTGGGCGCCTAAGGGCTGACAGTTCCACTCTGGAATAAATCAGAAGTTGATTTGTGGAGAACACTTTAAAGTGATCACACCTGCTCTGGTCCCATCTGGTTGGAGTATGATGAAATGGAACTCTATGTCTCTGCTTTGAAAGTGTTTGTAATGGTTTGAATCATAAGTGACATTACATATCTAAAAGAAGAAACTGTACCATGAGCAGCCCATGATTACCTAACTTCTTCTGTCAGTCGTATAAAGAACAATCAATATAAGAATTCACAATTAAAGATGTTCACTAACTTGGCCACATTTTTGGTGATGGACACATTTCTACTATATTCCATTGCTTTGTGCCAATGGTGTGGCTTAACCTATAGATTTAAGTAATGTCTACTAGTAATGTCTTTAGGATTAAGTATGAAGTCAAAATTCTTTAAAACCGCCAGGAGTGCTAATTTCAAGTTTTAAATGTCTAACACATTACTATAGAGATTCTGTCAGAACCAACTAATCTTTATTGCAAACTTCTTTAGGACAAACATCTTTAATATAAGATCTTCCTGGAGTGTTTCTGTTTCTTTCTTCCATTATTGCTATCATTTTAGAACACTTCCAGAAGTAGAGGTGGCATTGAAGTTCTAGCTTGTTGAGAAAGCCATATGTTATAAATCACAGCCTTCTGTTCAGTACAGAGCCAACTGAGGCAGATGTTAAGTTGAAAGATTTTTGTATTACCTGAAATTATGTGCTAGCAAAGGAAGGCATAGAAACCAAATGTCTAATTAATACTCATATTTCTAATATGCATCATTGTATTAGCAGGTGTCCTCATTGTGTGTTCCTCAAACAAAACCATAGCCATTGCCCTGTGATTTATAAAATTAAACAGAATAAACAGTAAAAGGAGACATGATCTAAACCTTTGATACACAAAGAATGGGAGAAAGCAAAGAGAAGATGCATAAGAGAGAGGGCTGAGAAAGGGAAACAAAACCAAGCTTCGTGGATCCTAAGGTTATATGAATATGAGCAAAGCTCCATAGGAAACCACTTAATAATGAGGTCAAGATGCTGAATAATTTAACAAACCTTTGGATCTTGATTTGTGCTTGTCCAAAACTAATATTTCACAAACCACATTGCACCTTGTCACAGAATCCTATTTTTCTCTCAAGATAATGCCCAAGTATTAATGGACCCAATTTGGTAGAAATTACCTAATTGGCTGCAGTCACTTCAACTTGAATATGACAGCTTGGACTTTTCAGTGGTCACAGGATAAGATAGAAGCTAGAGCAGCACGCTTTGCGATAATTGTAGCTGAAGCTTGTGTTATCACCAAAGCTTATTATTTTGCAAGTTGTACACTCAGCTTTTTGTAAAAATTGTACTGTAAGGAAAAAATCCCTGAGGAGGCTTCTTTTCTCTCCTGATTCTTCTAACACCCCAGAGGAGGATGACCAAACAAAATGCTTTGTGATTGTGTATAAGTACACTTAACTACATGCCACCTGATAAAATATCATAGTACCATGAGATAAACAGTTCGTTAAGTCTCTGCATTTTTTAGGCTTTGTGCTTATTCAGTGAACCAAATACTGTTAGTGAATGACATTGCTTAGGGTCTTGGGAAGTTGTATACCTACCTCTACATCAGGCAGGTAAATGAAAAGTAAAAAGTCTGCTTCCTACTAGCACCATCATTGACCTCCATTTTGTACCAGTGCCCATGAAAAATAAAAAGCAAGCTTATCCCTGCACAACACAAGAGCAGCTGGGCATCTTCTTCTTGTTACTAATTCTTTGCCTTATAGTTAAAGGAAAACTGCCTGATCTACCTCTCTCCTTCCTACATCTCTCCCTCCCTTTCTTCCTTTTATCTATACTTCTTGAGTCATAAGGTGATCCAGGCCCTGGCTGGACACTGCAGACATAAAGATAAGTTAAATGCATTCTCTGTCTTCAAGGAGCTCCCAGTTAAGAAAGGGGAAAAAGAGGAACAATTAAGACTAATCCTGTGTGTGTTGAGTGCTCTACTCAAGTGGAAAACAGAAATTTCCACAAGTCAGGAAACTTCACAGAGAAAGTAACATTGGGGCCAGATCTTAAAAGATGAACAGGTATTTACAACTGGAGAAGAGATCAGATGAGAGGGGATGGGGGGAAGTAGTTGCCTTAAGCAGAAAGAATGGCAAGAGAGAGGCCATCAGAATGTAGAACTATGTGGCTTAAGTGGCAGGTAAGGCCTGGTCAGAAAAGGTCATGTATACCTTTGTGAAAAAAATAGAAAAAAGAGTATATTGGTCTCTCCTCCTATTTCCCCTGCTACCGAGATCCCAAATCCCTTAGAATTTCCTGAGTGGTATGTGTCTTATTCTAATGGATGACTCTTGGTGGGCTCCTGGATATCTTTAAAGTGGGGGGCTGTTCACTGGAAAGATCAAACCATGATTTGAACTGTGGAACTTTTAGCCCCAACCTGCATTCCCCAAGGATGGTAAAAGGATTCAAGAGTGAGTTAACAATCAGTCATGCCTACATGATGAAGCCTCCATAAAAATCGCAAAAGCATGGCATTCACATTGCTTCTGGCTTAGTGAGCACATCTGTATAACCAGGAGGGTGGAGCACCCCAACTCCATGGGGTCAGAAGCTCCGATGCTCAGGACCTTTCCACCCTCACCCTATATATTTTAATCATCTCCTGTAATATAAAAAAAAAGTTTTTCCCTAAGTTCTGTGAGCTGTTCTAGAAAATGATTGACTTTAAGGAGGGTCATCAGGACTCTAGTTTGTAACCAACTCAGGCAGAAGTCATAATAAAGGGGACGCATTAGTGTGAGTGGCATCTGAAGTGAGGAGTAGTCTTGTGGGAATGAGTCCTTTACCCATGGGTTCTGTGCTAATTCTGGTTACTCTCTAAACTGAACCAAATTGTTTGGTGTGAAAATCCCACGTGATCATGTTTGAGAGGTATTGTGTGAAAAAAAGAAAACACAAGAGTTTTCCAAGATAGACTTGTCTGAGTATCTAGACAAGTCTCCAAGGTTTGTTGGGCTTAGGATACACATAGCATATTATTTAATAGCAGTGTTTGATTTCAGGTGTACAGCAATATAATTCAACATTTGTACATTGTCATCACCATTAAAAAACTAACTTCTTCCCATTGCCATGCAATTGCCTCCCTTTACCCAACTCGCCAACCTCCAAACCCCTTACCCTCTGCTAACCACCACTCTAATCTCTATATCTAAGGTTTTGGTTTATGGTTGTTTGGGGTTTTTTTGCTGTGCTTTGCTTTGTCTCTTTCTAGTTCTCTTATGAATGAAATCATATGACATTTGTCTTTCTCTGTCTGACTTATTTCACTGAACATAATACCCTCAAGGCCCATCCATAGTGGAGTATCCATATCATTGCAAATGGAAAGATTTTATCTTTTATATTGTTGAGTAATATTTCATTTGTATATGTGCTACATTTTCTTTATCTAGTTATCCACTAATGGACAACTGGATTGTTTACATATTTGGCTATTGTAAATAATATCACAGTGAACATAGAGAGGCACAGATTTTTGCAGATTAGTTTTTGTATAACTCAATCAGATGGTATTTCTATTTAATTTTTGAGGAATCTTTATACTGGCTTCCATTGTGGCTATGTGTAGTGGCTAATTAACACTGCTCCGTGTAAAAGTAATTTAATAGTAATGCCATTATCTTCTCAGTAACAGTCCACTGCCATGTACTGTTAATATTTTTTCCCCAGGCACCGAATGCTCTCAGTCAGTGAGAACTAATGTGGCAAACTATGGTCTCCTTTCTCAGTGAGCATCAGTGTACCACTCTGTAACCAGTCTTAACCTCAGAACTTTACCATGCTGCCCAGACTGTCTTTTGCAGTAGTGGTGTTTATTCTGTCTTGGCTCTCTTTCTCCACTTTATGTTTGTTCTGAAAAGCAGGTTTGATCCATATGGCTAATAAAAGGTGTGCAAGCGCTAGAGTATCATGCCTGGTGTTCAAATACAAGTGTAATAGCAGCTCAAGTGAATTTCAAGGAAATGGCTGGAGACAGTGAGTACTGACCAGTAGACAGAGGCTGGTGGCACTCTGACTTCAGGAAGGGTACCGTACAGAATGGGGCATCTCAGAAGGACTGCATAACTGACAAAATTTAGCTAGACAAACTTGGGGAAACTAGAAGGAACAAACTAACCTTAGTCAGCTCTTACCAGTGAGACTGGGTCCACCCCCCTTAGGGTCTTCATTTTAGTATATAGCACTAATTCATGTAGTGCCCCCCTTTCCAGAAATGAGTGCATACCCTGTGCAAGAAAGAGAAAATGGGGACTCTGTGCCATGTTTGGGGTACCTCTGGAGTCAGGCTCTCTGGGTTTGAAACTCAGCTCCACCATTTACCAGCTGTCTCACTTTGGATATTGAACCTCAGTGACTTCAGTTTTCTTCAGTGTAAAATGGGGACAATACTACCTCCCAAATGAAGTTATTGTGAAGAGATTAATTCTTCAAAAGTGCCTAGAGTAGCACCTGATAGATACTAAATGTTTGAAGCTATTAGCTATTGTTACCTCTGTC